GGGGGGGGGGCAGAGGGAAAGAACTTTTGATAATGAAGGAACAAGTTTAAGCTCTACAGGAAGCATGGAAAAAAATAAGACCCCAGAAGCAGCACCCAGCTCATGTCAGAAACAATAGCCTTGTGTGAAAAGGCTTATCAAGCACTGTTTTTAGTTACTTTCACTTCCTGAATAAAGGTTATCAGGTAACTAAAAAAAAAGCCCCAGGAATACAATTAAATTGTTTTAACAAACAGATGCAGCCCTGGACTGGCCATGCTTATTACCTATGTCAAGAAATTTGGAAGACAGATACCTGACCAAACAACTGGCAGAGATCCATTTGTTCCCTCTCACATAAAAGGTGATCCAACAAAGCGCATTTTCATCCATTCTTAGCAAGATCAATATGTTACGTATACAGTTTATTTGGCATTCACACTTGTATTTGTGGGAGTTCCAGTGGTGTAGTCTAAAGGCGCTTCTAAAGAAAAATGTCTTCACCTAATCAATAAAACACAGATAGAGATCCTCCTGATAGTCTTCTGCTTTCAACCAAGATCCATCTGACACCAGCAATGATATCCTAGATGCCATGGCCTCTTTTAAATCCAGCCTGAATTTCTGGCAGTTCTCTGTTGATGTACTTACTAGTCTAGCCACTTTTAATACTCTTCAGCAAAATTTACTTGCATGTAATATTAATGATACTGTTCAGCGATTTCCACATTCTGTTTGATCACCTTTTTGGGGAGGGGAACTGAAAACAAATGTGAATCTCTTCCAATCAGTTAGCCAGACAGCCGTCTTCCAAACTTCTTGGCATAGCCTGGTGAACATGTCTAAGATTGTGGTGTTTGTTGAAACATGTCAGTTGGTATTCCTTCAATTCCTAAGGCCTTATATTTGGCTAGTGTCTTTAGTGCAGAATAAACTTCTTCTTTCATCACCACTGGCTCTCGATCGTATGCTACTTCCTGAAATGTTACTGTGTCCAAGTCTTCTTGGTACACCGATTCCTTGTATTCCTTTCGTCTTCGTTCTAACTTCTTGTCAGTGTGTGGTGCAACATATTAAAAGTAAAATCCCAAAAGCAACACCACTGCTCTCTAGTGGATTCTAACTCAGTTTCTGAGGCTGAAAATTTTAATAGGAGGAGGGTGACCTTCTTTGTCCTGTGAAGCAGCAGGTGAATTAAAACTGTTGACTATTTTTATGGTTAGCCCTAGAACACGCAACACACAGCACAACCAGAATTGCATATGACAATAGTGGTTTATATCTTCTATCTAATAAAGATCACATGTAGATCATAACAAATTGTGTCTAACATTGAGAAGAACGGGAATCCAGCACACTTAATTGTGTTCATGCAAAACCTGTATCTAGACCGAGAGTCCAAGAGTCTGTTCTGTGAACAGAGCAAAGGTCATGGTTTACATGGTTTAAAATTATAAAAGCTGTGTGTAAAGGTTGTATCCTCTCTCTCTACCTATTAAAGATTAAGTATGCTGAGCAAATTATTCAAGAAGCTGAACTCTGTGAAGAAAAATGTGATATTAGGAACAGAGGAAGATTCATTAACAGCCTACATTAAACACTAAACACAACTTTGTTTGCTGAAAATGAGGAGGGGTTGAAGGGCTCACTACACAACATCAAAGACTGCAGCCTTCAAGATAGATTACAGGTAGACAAAATCCCTCATCACTGGACAAATAAGCAACATCATGACAGATGGAGGAAAGAGATATTGTCAACAATCTGACCTTGCTTGGATACACGATCATCTCCCTGGGTGTCAGCAGTCAGGAAATCATAAGACATATTACTTTAGGAAATATCTACTGTCCATCTTCAAGAGCAACGATGTCAGTTTAAAGATTAAGGTGTGCCTGAACCGAACCATGGTCTTTTAACTTACTTGTTATGGATCTAAAATCTGGGCAATGACCAATGGTGACAGGAGAAATATTGATGCCTTCTAGTAGTGGTGTACGGAATGTCTCATGGATTGTCAAAAGGACAAGCACATATCCTTGGAGAATGTGCAACCAGGGTGCTCCTTGGAAGCAAAGTTAGTGACACTTCCATTCACATGCTCTGAGCATGTTGTTAGAGGGGCCAGTCCTTAGGAAAGGACATCATTAAAGGGTTCAACTCTATTGTTCACAGAGTTTCTATTCGTTGTAGTCAACTCATTGGCACTAACAACAACAACAACACCCTCATACACAGATTATTACAGATACGTTGTTGTTGTTGTTCTGTGCTGATAAGCTGCCTGATTACACACCTTCAGGAAAATTCTTAATATGGTAATTCTATATTATATTCAAGTCATTTGTAGAGCAATACACACATGTTCATGCTGGGAAATGCTTGAGTTACTTATTTAAAATTGGTGTTACTAAGTGCTGTCAAATCAACTACAACTTAGAGCAACCCTATGGTCACTAAGAGTCACAAGTGACTCCAGGGCACCTAACAACGAACAACAGAGAGAAATCTTGCCCTATCTCGTGGCATCCTCACAGTCACCACCATGCTTAAGCCCGTTGTTACAGTCATCGTGCCAGGCGATCTTTTTTAGGGTCTTCCACTGATCTACCTTTCCCTTCATGATCCCTTTTCCCCAAGGATTTCCGACAAACATGCTCAAAGTACATGAGACAAATTATCACTACCCTTGCTCTAAGAAGGGCCCTGGTTGCACTCCTAAAAGAAGACTTGTTTCTTCTTTTGCCAATCAATGGGATGGCTAATAATCTTCTACAACATCACAATTCAGAGACATCACTTCTTCCTCAGTCTTCATTATTCATTGTTCAATTTTCTATGCATATACAGCAATAGAAGGTACCATGACTTAGATCAGGTACACTTCAGGGTTCAAACTAACATCCTCTTTCTATAGAACTCTGGAAAGTTTCTTGACAGGTGATTTTCCTATTACAACATATTTTTTTTTCTTTCTTGACTATTGCTACCATAGGTGTGGATTGTGGATCCAAGTAAAATTAAATCACTGGCAACTGTAATAGTTCTTCCATTGATCATGATGATTCCTATTGGTCTAGTGGTGAGAATTTTTGTTTTCTTGATGCTGAGCTGCATTCCATATTGAAAGCTGCAGTCTTTGAACTTCTGCAGTAAGTGTTTCAAGTCTTCACTTTTTACAAGCAAAGTGGTGTTATCTGCATGACACAAAATGTTGATGAGTCTTCCTGTAATCCTAATGCCCCATTTTTCTTCATATAATAATTTGAAAAACTGTAGTTGAGGTAACCTAATGGAAAAAAATTAAAACACTAGAAAGCTGATAATTTTCTCTTAACCAGTGCTAAACTATTAAGTAAATAATAATTATGGTTTCGATAATTATAATTCAGAGCCTAGAAGCAAACTTTGTGGTTACTATTTATACTATTTAGAACAAGTTGGGACATTTTGTTAGGTAGCTGAATATTTGTGGAGTGTATATAGTATGTGTGGATTTTCTGAGAGAGAGAATGTGTGTGTGTGTGTGTGTGTGTGTGCCTAAAGTAAAGAGAATCTTCATCTAGTTCAATATGACATGACAATAACAATCTAAAATTTAGAGTTACGTAAATAAGAGTTCAAGATTTTGTCCTGATCTTCCCAGTCGGGTGTGCTGAGACAATTTGTTTATTTTCTCTGAACATCAGGTTTCTCATAACTAAAACAAGAATAATATTAATCTCTACCAGATGTGCTTATTGGGAAAAATCAAATAATCTAAATACAGTTTTAATGTTAAGATGCTTTATAACTACAACACGTTATGCCATTATGCACATGTGTGAAAAGTTTACCCTTCTTGCAATACAGTGCAAACAT